GGTTCAGAGTTCTGGGACCAGCCCCTGAGCCTGCTTGGTCAGGTATTCTGTGTTGTTGTTGGCAGAGCTCTCTGCTATACATCCACCCGATCCGCCATCTTGTTTCTTCTCTCCACGAACTTTTTAAAGCTCTCTCATATGTTCCAAGGACTCGATGACATTTACAAAAAGTCTTCTGCCCAGTAATGATCTGTAGATTTCGGAACAACAGGATCACATAGTCAACTGGCATTTCAGGGTGATGTTTTGCCAAGAGCTTCCTCCTCCCCTTTCCTTCTGAACCTAGAACATCGGGCCCAGCATGCTCTGTGAGTCTTCTGCTGGCCCGTTACAGATGTGGGGATAAGGAGAACAATGCTTATTCTTTTTCTAAATATTCTCTGATTTACACACTCAAATCAAGAGCTGCTCTTCCTCATGACCTGCTAATAAGTGGGTGTCAGAGGGCCGTCAGTGAGAAATGATTTTCAAAGAGTCCGGATCCAATGCATGGAAGAGAAGTCTGACTCTGGGTTCAGTATTTCCAGAGAAGATGCTGGACTATGGTGTCCATGATTAGTAAGCATTTTCCAGACACAGGATACTGTCATTTCCTTAGAATAATTTAGCCTCTAAATTTCTGCCAGCTACTAAACATATATCCCCAGTGAGCCAAGGCCTTTACCTGAGCTTTAACCTAAGAACTAAACAGTGTTTAGACTGAAGTGAGGAAGTTGAGCATCTGTCAGTAAAGAGATGGAAGAAGAGAAAAGAATTGCTCATAGATTCACTGGTTTTTCGCTTGTTTTTAATTTAGGTTCCGATTAAAAGGCAGTTCTGTTATTCAGTGTGTCTTGGTTGGAATGGAAAGCTTGTGGAGTGGCAGTACTCCTGTCTGTGAACGTGAGTAGATGGAATAACTATGAAGAGAAACAGTTCTCTTTTTTCTGATGTGTTTTTGCCTCATGCAATCTACCTGTCATTTACATCTCTGTTCTTGTTAACTAAATTGCTGATAGAAATAGTTCATTGCTGAGAGAATTTCAAGAAACTTCTTGTAGGTTTTGTACATCATATGTTTTTCGTACTAATTTGTAAATTAATGATGGGCCCTGGTGCTGTAGGATAAGCACTGGATTGCCAACCACAAGATTGTTGGTTCAAATCCACCAGCCCCTTCTCGGAAATCCTATATAGAGTCAGTATGAGTTGGACCCAATTTGATGGCTCATAACAACCATAACAGTTTAATGACAGTATTAAGTTCTGTCTAGAGACACTAGATAGCATGAAGATGAACATTTTTTATTCATTTATTTTTCAGTTCTCTCTCTCTTAAATTTTATGTCCTTTTATTCTCGTACATGTCTAAGCTATCCATTCTACCTGTTATTTAGTCCACGGTATTTTCTGAGGGAGGGTTTGCCATGGGCCAGGACCTGGGAAGAGACCAATGAATGAGAAAGACACATCTCTGCTCCCATGCGGTGTATTTTCTGGTTGAGGAGGCAGACAATAAACAAGAAAATAAAGGAATAAAAATTAGAACTTATAAAATGGAAAGTTAAATAAGGATAAATATTATTGAGAAAATAGTTAAAAATTAGCATGATGTGGGCAAACCTTGTTATAAATCTATTTATACATCTTATGTTGATGACCTAGTAAGGCACTGTAGGGTAAGCACTGGATTGACTGCAGGTTCAGTGTGAACCAGAAGGTTGATGGTTCAAACCTAGCAGCTGCTCCTCAGAAACCCTATACAGGGTCACTATATGTTGAGAACAATAACAACAACATGTTGAAACTTTAAATTCAATATATAACAACGTGTATAAATAAACTTCGGCGGTCGTGGTTGTGTGCTGTGGAGTCAGTACTGACTCAGTGACCCAGCTTAGAGCAAAAGTGTCCTTCGTTTATGATGACCCATGGCAAACCCGCCCTTAGTAAACACTGTGGACTAGAAACAGTCTGTATAGGGTTTCTGCAGCTATAATTCTTTACGGGAGCAGAAAGCATCATCTTTCTCCCATGGAACAACTGGTAGATTCAAACTGCAGCCCAATTCATAATCCACTATTCTACCAAAGTTTATTATATAAGTAATAAATTCCAGAAATAGGAGATCATTCATTGTTTGGTGTACAAAGACCTTTCCTTTTATTATAGACACAATTCTGATTATATTGTTGTTGTTAAGTACCGTGGAGTTGGTTCTGACTCATAGTGACCAGGTACAGGGTTTCCGAGGCTGTAAATCTTTATGGGAGCCGAAAGCCTCATCTCTTCCACGGAACAGCTGGTAGTTTCAAACTGCCAACCTTGAGATTAGCACCCCAATTCGTAACCACTACGCTACCAGAACTCTGATTATATACCTATCCCTAAATTCACATCAGATTAGAAGCATCCAAATAATCCTGGGGAGAGAACTGTTCCAAATAGATACACTAAAAGCAGGAATAAAATGACAGATGAATGCTTAGAAGAAAGATAAATCTGAAAGAAATTTGAAGACACTCTGGAGCCATTTAATGAACATTTATCAATTGTACTCTCATAACACTATTAGATATTTGGTGTTGAAACTGATGGAAGTGGTCTTGTACCATCAAGATTATCTGTTTAAGACAGTGTTGTTGTTGTTGTTAAGTACTCTTAAACTGATTCCAACCCATAACCACCCTATACAGGGTTTCTGAAGAGTCACTGGTGAGTTTGTACTGTCAGCCTTGTGATTCAAACTGACCTTGTGGTAGAGTGCTTATCAACAGAGCCACACCAGGACTCCAGCATTGAAGACAGTTGTTGATGTTAAGTGCCATCGAGTAATACATGTTTAATAAACTTCACAAAGATTTCCTTGGAGCATAGGGTGTCTTGGGGTTAAAACCTTATCCGTTTTATACCCCATTCCTATTATCATCTCAGGGATCTTATGTGGCCTGACATAAAGTAGTTGTTCAAAGGTTTGTTGAATAAAAAATTAATTATTTTCCAAAATGGTTAAAATGATTATTTTGTAATGTTTGTTTCTTGGAAAAACGTAACTATCTGAAGAATCCAGAGCATTGAGGGTCATTTAGATGGTTACAATAAGCTATGACCTAGTTCTCACGTTAGTTCTTTCTTCACAAAAGTCTCACATATTTGAATTCTGTCCACTTTAGTTATACTCCTTTTAATAGAATATAAATAATGTATTTTCAACACAATCACAAGACACCATCTAATAACCCAATTAAAACTCTAATGGAACTTTTTTCCTAGAAATCTTTTGTCCAAATCCTCCAACTATCCTTAATGGGAAACACACAGGAAATTCTCTGGGAAGCATTCCCTATGGAGAAGAAGTATCTTACAAGTGTGACCCCAATGTAGACGAAGGAATGACCTTCAGCCTTATTGGGCAGCGCACCATCCGCTGTACAAGTGACAATCAAGGGAACGGAATTTGGAGCGGTCCTGCCCCTCTCTGTGAACTTTCTACTCCTGTTGGTTAGTGGCATTTCCTCATGTCCCACGTGGATCAGACTATCTAGGAAAGGACCTCTGATTTGCATGATAGTTGTTTTTTATTGTGATTGGCTGTGTTATGAATGGCAGACACAGAACTACCTGCAGGTGAACAACACAGGGTTCTAGATACGATACACTGTGTCCCAACGGTAATATTCCAAGGACCTTTCCTGGTGGGGTAAAGAGTGTGGGATGGTGAAAAGAGGAGAAGTCAGTGAGGGTTACATTTTGTAGAGACAATTTTCAAAGAACTGAAAACAAATGCCAAAGAAAATGACCTTTTATGCTATTTCTATTACAAATTGTCTTTATGCTAGATAGTATAAAGGTATGCTAAAAAGTGCCTGTTGGTGTCTATAATTTACTTCAGAACCGATAATGCTGTAAAATGCTTAAAGAAACTCAGACGGAGCTCCTTTTGCTACTTTTAAGTGTTCTGCTCATGACTGTGTTCTTTGTAAAGACCCTTCACTGCACCATTGTGGTAGTGGTGGTGTGCCATGGAGTCAGTTCTGATTCATAGCAACTGTGTACAGGGTTTCCAAGGCTGTAACACTTTATGGGAGCAGAAAGCCTCATTTTTCTCCTGTGGAACAGCTGCTACTTTCGAACTGCAAACCTTGAGTTTAGCAGTCCTACTTGTAACCACTACACTGCACTATGAGCAAACCCTAATCTGAAAGTCCTGGATAAGCACTGGATTGCAAGGTTGGTGGTTCAAACCCACCAGTCGCTTCTTGGAAACCCTATCCAGGTTTGCTATGATTTGGAACTGACTCGACAGAACTTAACAACAAAAGTCTAAATGACAAAACCTGACAGTTACAGATTCATCTGTGACTGTGATTGAGCATACAAGTTCTGCCTTCCAATGAGGACAGAACATTGAATTAGATTCCTGTGGTACTCCTATCTGATATAATTTGCAGGTAGAGAAGACAGAGAAGTTCATTAATGAAGGCCAAGACGTCTGGGTTTAAAGAGTCAGTCTTTCCAATAATCAGCTAGTAGTTAGTGGCTTAGGACCTCCTGCCTCATGCCTCTAGTAGGCAGAAATATTATTGCATAGGTTGGTTTGTTCATATTTCTCTGCTCAATTGAATGTCCTTTCATGTTTTTGTGTTGGAACTCACCTTTAGTGTGCTCACCTCCACCCGAGATCCGCAATGGTAACTATATTGGAAAACGTGAATCTTCATATCCGCCTGGGATGACAGTCAACTACATATGTGACTCAGGCTACCAGTTGGTGGGAGAGCCCTTCATTTTCTGTACAGATCAAGGAACCTGGAGTCAATTTGATCTTTACTGCAAAGGTACCTAATTTCCTGGTATTTCTTAATCCTGCTGGGTTAATGTTATGAAAAATGGATGTAGGAAGTTAATAAGGCTGAGAGTTCATTCCTGAGAATATGTTGTTGTTGTTGTTGTTAGGTGTCATTGACTCATTACCAACTCATAGCAACCCTATGTACAATAGAACAAAACACTGACTGGTCCTGAGCCAATCTCACAATCATTACTACGCCTGAGCCCACCGCTGCCACCACAGTGCCAATCCATCTCATTGGGGGTCTTCCTCTTTTTCTCTAACCTTCCACTTTACCAAACATGATATCCCTCTCCAGTGACTGGTCCCTCCTGACAAAGTGTCCGAAGTATGAGAGATGAAGGTTTGACAATCCTGGCTTCCAAGGAGCACTCTGGCTGCATTTCTTCCAACACAGATCTGTTTGTTCTTTCAGTAGTCCATTGTACTTTCAATATTCTCCTCCAACACCATACTCAAATCTATCAGTTCTTTTATGTTCTTCTTTATTCACTGTCCAACTTTTGCATTTTTTGCATATACTCATTTTCAACAGGGTTCTTTGACTTCATAAAACTTTAAATTTGCTTTTTGTTTTATTCTTTTCTTTTTAGCAGTACTTGCCTAAGGGCAGAAATGAGATACAAAGGACTTCAGACATACCTGTGTTTCAGCTGTTAAGAAGCAGCTAGCCCCTTGGCCAATAGTAGTTTTAAAAATTAATTGTGAAAGGTCATTTCTTTTCAACTGTATAAAATTGCTTCTGTCTTAACTGTTATCAAATATGCTTTATGGCAGAGGTCCTCAATCTGTTGCCTTATCAAAATCAGCCAGGAATCTTGTGTGAAAGGCAGATTCTTTATTATTATTATTATTTCTTTGGAACCCCAGGAGTAAGTTCAGTATCAGGACTGAAGGCTGACTAAGAGCCTTGGGAATTCTACCAGTCTTTATCCAACCTGGAAGCCTGGTCTATTTTACAATTTGGAGTTTCTTTCTATATTTTTATCCTACTGTAGTTGTTGTTATGTGCCATTGAGTCAGTACTGACCCATAGCGACCCTATGCACAATAAAATGAACCACTGCCTTGTCCTGCACCAACCTCATAATAGTTGCTATGTTTGAACCTATTTCTGCTGCCACTGTGCCAGTCCATCTCATTGGGGGTCTACCACTTTTTCTTCAACCCTTCATTTTACCAAACATATCTTTCTCCAGGGACTGTCTGAAGTATGAGAGATGAAGTCTCTTCATCCTGGCTTCCAAGGAGCATTCTGGCTGTGCTTCTTCCAACACAGAACTATTTGTTCTTTTGGTAGTTCATGGTACTTTTAATATTCTCCTCTCCTGGTGTGGCACTGTGTGTTAATGCGCCAGACTGCAAAGCCATTTGACCTGCAAGGTCAGTGGTTCAAGCTCACATCTGTTCCTTGGAAACCCTATACAGGGTCGTTATGGGTCGGAACTGACTCAATGGCACTTAACAACAAAAACAACAACATAAGTCAGCTGCATCAATTCTTCTGTGGTCTTCCTTATCCACTGTCCAACTTTTACATGTGTATGAGGTTATTGAAAATACCATGGTTTGGGTCAAGCACATGTTAGTCCTCAAACTGACATATTTGCTCTTGAACACTTTAAAGAGGTCTTGTGCAGCAGATTTGTCTAATGCAATACGTTGTTTGATTCCTTGACTGCTGCTTCCATGAGTGTTGATGGCTGAGCCAAGCAAAATGAAGTCTTTGACAGCTTCAGTCTTTTCTCCGTTTATTATGGATGTGGTTTATTGGTTCTCTGGTGAGGATTTTTGTTTTCTTTACATTGTGGTGCACCCCATATGGAAGGCTGTGGTCTTTGATTTACATCAGTAAGTATTTTAGTCCTCTTCACTTTCAGCAAGCAAAATTGTACCACCAGGGAACTGTTAACGAGTCTTCTTACAATCCTGATGTCACGTTTTTCATTATATAATACAGCTTCTTAATTATTTGCTCAGCATACAGATTGAATAATTTGGTGGAAGAATACAACCCTGACGCACACTTTTCCAAATTTTAAATCATTCAGTGTTTCCTCGTTCTGTTCGAAAAACTGACTCTTGGTCGATGTTCAGGTTCCTCATGAGCACAATTAACTGTTCCAGAATACTCATATTCGGCAATGTTGCCCATAGCTTTTCATGATCCACTCTATCTAGAACCTTCTAATATGATTCCTTTCAGATTGGTCAGTAGATTCTTAAGCTTGATTCACATGGATTCTGATTCTGACCCTTTTGAGATGGAATATAGACGTCTATGTTTAACAAACTCATCAAAATATTCTGATGTAAGATCAGAGATCACACTGTGAGAAATACCACTTTACCTTGTTGATTCTCATAAAGGAAAAAAAAAAAAATTAGATTCAGTTTGAGATGATCACAACTGAAAAGTAGACTTTGGAGGAAGTATTGATGGCTGGGCAGAAACAGAAAGCAAACCAAATCAAACCTGCTACCACAGAGTCAGTTCTGATACATAGCAACTGATAAAACAGTAGAACCGCCCCCATTGGGTTTCCATCTTTATAGGAGCCAATTGCCACATGTTTCTCCTGAAAAAGCAAAACAAGGACTACTTAAATGAGATGAAGTAGATTAAAAAGAAAAATCATATTTTAAATTCTGAATCATTTACTAACTTCTTGGTTCCTTATATAAAAATAGACCAGAGACTAAATATCATCATCTATCACATATCCAGAGAACAATAAAATATAATATTTTTGATTCCTTATGGGTAAGCCCACATAGATCGAGGTCTAGAACATGATCATCCGAAATCCTAATCCTTCTGCAACTTTCCAGTTACAGAGTTGTTAATAATAAAAGTGAATGTGTTGTACTCCCTTTATTTACATAAAAAATGAAAGTGTCAGAGATTTAAAAATCATATGGTGTTTGGGTGGGTCACTAATTCTTAATTGAAACTCTACTCTCAATTTGCTGAGGGCAAAGTAGGTTTGTTGTTGTCGTGAAGTGTCATCGAGTCGATTCCAACCCATAACTATCCTGTATAGGGTTTCCGAGGAGCAGTTGATGAGCTTGAACCACTGACCTTGCATTTTCAAATAACTTTGCAGTCTGGTGTATTAACCCACAGCGCTACACTAGGACTCCAAAGTAGGTCTTGAGGCACAGATTTTGCTAGTATGACAGCTTCAATGAATAATTTCCAGTAAAACATGGATTTTCTTCTGATGTTTCTAACTCCAGAGGTCACATGTAGCATCCCACAGCTTATGAATAGAGCCTGGAAGGAACCGAAATATAGGAAAGTTTATCATTATGGAGACAATATTACCATAGCGTGTGAAGTTGGGTATACTCTGGAAGGCAGTCCACAAAGCCAATGCCAGGGTGATGACCGATGGAACCCTCCTCTGGCCATTTGTACATCAAGTAAGTGCACGTGCTATGCTCAGTCATGTTTACAGTATATCCATTCACTGTGTTATGTGTGCTAGGAGCTAAGGAGTATAATGTTGTTATTGTTGTTGTTAAGTGTGGTCCAGTCAGGTCTGATTTATAGCAACCCTGTATAGGGTTTCCAAGGAGCAGCTGATGGGTTTGGACCACTGACCTTGTGATTGTCAGTCCAGTGTTGATCCTACAGTGCCACACCAGGATCCACGGAGCACACTAAGTGCCCGTATATCTTCCCAAACAGTCCAGAGCCCTGAGAGTAAGGTAGGCCTTGCTTTCCTCACAGTTTTCACCACATGCCAGGGTTAATCTCTCTCTCCTTAAGGCTCACTCTCAACCTTTTTCATTTCTATCACTCTGTTATATGCACCACACAGTAATGATTTGTTTGCAAGCTATGGTCTTAAGAGCCAGAAGCACATCACTGGTAAAATAAACCTTTAAAAAAGGCTCCCAGAAAAGTGGAATAGGATGGCAGAGTGAGTGAATGCTGCGATTTCTTCCCCCAGCAACTAACCCACTGAATAGTGAATAAAAACCAGCATAGACCGGGATCTCAGAGATCAAGATGGCAGTGAGATAGGTGTGTAGGAGAGTTGGCGTGAGCTCAGAGTAGGGGAGAGGAGGAGTCGCATTGGTGCAGAAGCTAGGTTAACTGGACCAATAGCATCAGGAGCTCTTGCTCATCACAGCCATTTTGTAACGGGGCTGAGTCACACTCCAAACAGAGAACACAGAAAGAGTGCTAATCAGGAAGCTGTCACTGGATTTTTTAAGACAGCATGGGTTGACCATGAGAATCTCTGGGCCATGCAATTGGGAGGGGGTGCAGAGAGACTATGGAACTATGAGAGAGTGTTGATAAATCTCCCTGAGACCCAAGATGCATGGGCATTAGGACCAGGAAGTACCACAAAGGTAGAACGATGAAAGGAATACTGTGAACAGATGAGCAACACAGAGGAAAACAGTAGCTTCTTGCCCGTAGGGAGACACCATGAGAGAACCTGAGGGAAAGACCTCAAAAGCCTCTACCCTTGCTACAGAGAAGTCAAGCCTTACCATTGATATCAGTATCTGTGACCAACTAAATGTACCACATACCCCATACTTCCATGCATATGCACTGAATTCCAGAGATCAAGCATTCAGAACTTCCAATTAAGCAATTAAAAAAAACAAAACCCTAAAGATAAGAGTGTTCTCCGGTGGTTCTCAGGAAAACATAGTAAATCAACTCACTGACATTGGGTTGATTCAGACTTATATTAACCCTGTGAAGCCAAGTAGAGCTGTCTTATGAGATTCCTAGGGTGCTTAAGTCTTTGTGGAGGCAGGTTACTCCATCTTTCTCCTGTTGTATGACTGCTGGGTGCAGGCCCTGGTCTTTTGTTTGTCAAACAAGCACTTGAACACTGTGCCACCAGGGCACCCAATCAGAAAGAAAGACAAAGAAAAGATACAGTGGCTCAAGTTCAGTAGAAAATGTTCTTAAGTGTCGTCGACTCGGTTCTGACCCATAGCGACCCTGAACAGAGTTTCCAAGGCTATAAATCTTTACAGGAGCAGAAAGCCTCATCTTTCTCCCGCGGAGCAGCTGGTAGTTGTGAACTGCTGGCCTTGTGGTTTGCAGCCCGATTCGTAACCACTACACTACCAGAGTGCCTTCAGTAGAAAATAGTAACACACAAAAGCACAATTGAAGAAGGACTAATGAAAAGTGAATCTGAAGAAGAGGAAATTACCCTATGGCAAAAATTTTCAGACTATAGTGCTAAATGTACTTTAATGAAGTGAAAAGCACACACACAAAAACGAACTAGTAGAGATGAGAAAAGATACAGAGGAACAAAATGAAAAACTCACAAAGAAACTGAAAAAACACAAAATGGAGAACTGAAGAATAAAGCAACTGAATTAGAAAAAGCAAGAGAAACTCTCAACAATTGAGTTGAACAGACAGAATATAGAATAAATCAACTAGAAATAACTGAATTTATCAGCTTGCAGAGCAAACAAAAAAAGGAAATATGAGATTTAATGAAGAAATCTAACATTAGAATTATTAGAATCCCCTAATGGACCACACATGGAGTCCTGGTGTGGCACTGTGGGATAATACATTGGACCACAAGGTCAGTTTGAACCTCAAGATCGGTGGTTCAAATTCACCAACTGCTCCTCAGAAACCCTATTCAGGGTCACTATGAGTCGGAACCAACTCAATGGCACTTAACAATAATAGCAAAGGACCACACAAGCCTCCATGATCCTGAGACCAGAAGAACTAGGTGCCCAGCTACCACACTACCAATGGCACCAGTTGGGATCACAATAGAAGATCCTGGATAGAGTGGGAGAAAAATGTGGAACAAAACTCAAGATTATAAAAAATGCTAAGCGAACTGGTCTGACATAGATTGGTGGAACCCCCAAGCTGATGGTGCTTAGTCATCCTGCAAGCCTGGAACTAGAACTGATCTTGCCACCATGGCTCAAGTTTCCATCAAACAGTAGACAAGCCTACAAGGAGATGCCCGTACACCTCCTTAAGAGTTGTTGTTGTGGTTAAGTGCTGTCAAGTTGGTTCCAACTCACAGTGATCCTGCATAGGGTTTCCAAGGAGCAGCTGGTGAATTTGAACCACCGACCTTGAGGTTCACATTGCAGTGCTGGTCATACAGTGCCACCCCAGTAGTCCATTTCTTTAGAGCAGTGCCTCGTTACAGAGGTACAGAGTCCTTGTGTGGCTCTGTGGGATCAGCAGTGGACAGCTAACCATGAAGTCAGTGGTCCAAACGCACCAGATGGTCCTCAGAAGCCCTATAGGGTCTCTATGAGTCAGAACCAACTCAACAATACTTAACAGCAACAGCAATAAGGGGGTACACACTCCTTAGAACTATCGAACTATCTACCATTCAAGATCAACAGAGCAGCATTAGCACAGGGAAAAGGGAAGAAGGGAAGAAGGGATAAGGTGAAGGACAAATGAAAACAAAAAGCACAGGGAGGATGTGGGCTGAGTGCTGTTAACACTGTGGGCATTGCAAATCAGTTCCATGAAACAAAATATGAATGACTTGTGGAACGGAAAACTGAAATCAAATCACCAGAAAAAGTGAAAATAGGAAAGAAAAAAAAAAAGGAAAATTATGATCTTTCCGATTAAATAAAATTGTATCCCTCCAAAAATTACTGGAATCCTAGAATACCATGACACTAAAAGCATTTGCTGCTGTTGTTGTTAAGGGTCATCAAGTTGCTTCCAAGTCATAGTGACCCTGTATAGGGTTTCCGAGTAAAGCAACTGGTGAGTTTGAACTGCCAACTTTGTGGTTCAGACCGACCTTGGAGTCCAGCACATTATCCCGCAGCACCACACCAGGATTCCAATAAAAGCATAGAAGCAATCTTCTAAGAAATAATCGGAATTCCATAGACCTGACTAGAGATCCAAGCCCGCAAATACAGGAAGATATACAATACAACCCCGTTTATGAACAACTGGTTTTCTGTAAGGGATCAAAGCCCAGCCAATGGAACAGAGACAGTCATTTTAATCAGTGGTGCCAGAAAAATTAGATACCAATATACAGAAAAATAAAACAGGACCCATACCTCACCCCATAAAACTAACTCAAAGTGGGTCAAAGACCTAGATGTTAAACCTAAACCCATAAAACTGTAGGAAGCCCACACATATGGATGAATCTAGGCATACTGGTAAACAAGTAGGTACATGTGTGCACATAGGTGAGAGCAGATAGAAGTATAAAGGAGCTCTGGTAGCGTAGTGGTTATGAATCGGGCTGCGAACCTTAAGGCCAGCAGTTCGAAACTACCAGCCGCTCCGCGGGAGAAAGATGAGGCTTTCTACTCCCGTAAAGATTTACACCCTCGGAAACCCTGTACAGGGTCGCTATGGGTCGGAACCGACTCGATGGCACTTCACAACAACAATTTATAAAAACCAGACTCACGGCCATCAAGTTAATTCCAACTCACAGTAATCTGATATGGCAGAGTAGAACACAGGTTTTCAAGCCTATGAACCTTTACAGACTAAGACTACCTCATCTTCCTACAGAATGGCTTGTGAGTTTGAACCATCAATCTTTTGGTTAGCAGTCCAACACTTAACCCATGGTGCCACCAGCACTCCTCTAAAGTATCTAGATCAAAAAACAAACAACAATAAACACAATGCCGTCCAGTCAATTCTGACTCATAGTACCTCTATATAGGGTTTCGGCAACTGTTTAACTTTTACAGGCATAAATAGCCTCAACTTTGTCCAGCAAAGTAGCTATGGGTTTGAACTGCCAACCTTGCAATTAGTAGTTTATATACAAATACTGAAGACACAAATATAAATATTCCTTGGACATAAGCAAACACCTTCCAAGATCGATTTTACGGGTTTGAAAGCTTAAGACCATAGTCTCATGGGAAAACTCAGTCAGCGTGGTTGGTAGAAGGATCCTCTGAGTGCTAGTATATCACAGGATGAAAAATTCCTTAGAATTGTCAGATCTCTTACATCCCCCATTTCAATGGCCCACTTATATTACAGATCTGATTCAGTACAGCACCTTTCTCAGAGTAGAGGAAGGGTAATGTTGAACTCCACCTTAACTCCAAAATATGCCATTAGCAATTACTATTAAATCAAGCAAAACCAGACCAATTGTCCTTGTGGATCCCAATAAAAATTAAATCCTTGACAACTTGAATCTTTTATCCATTTATCATAACATCATTTATTGATCCAGTTGTGAAGGTTTTTGTTTTCTTTACATTAAGTTGTAATCCATACTAAAGGCTGTATTCTTTTACCTTCATCTACAAGTGCTTCAAGTCCTCTTCACTTTCAGTAAGCAAAGTATGGTGGGGGTGATGTGTGGTGGAGTCGGTTCCGACTCATAGTGACCCTGCAGAGGGTTTCTGAGACTGTATAGTTAAGTATAGTCACCATTTATGTTGATGAAAAGAGGTATTTGTAATAAATTAGTAGTTAATCTTGTAAAATTCTATCAGAAGCTCACATGCTTAGTTCACAAACATCTCCATGCTGTTTCCAAGGTAAATGGAGTTTTTCAGCTATCTAGCTCTGTTACCTTGGTCAACATCACACAGCCCTAGAAGAGGAGCAGAAATACACAAAAAGTACCTTAGAATGAAGGGGAAAGGATGTAAACATTTTTGACCCTTGGTTTATAGATACACAGAAAATCTTTAGCCTCACTATAACTGAAAACATATAAAAAGAAAGAACACTGTACCAGTTTTTTGCCCATTAAATTAACAACAACTACAACAAAAATTAGTATGAACAATAAGAAGTAAGGATATAACAGTATTTTTTTAAGTATGAATATGAAGATACATATATATATAGATATATATATGAAGTTCCTTTTATAAACTTGCAAAAACCCTTACAAAAAGTAATTATATAATATGTGTAGAAAATAATATAAATGTTCATGTCCATTAGTCCTTATAGGAATTCAAATTGATGAAATAATATGAAACATTAATTTTTACAATGTTTAAATTTTACTAAAAGTGAAAAAAGTACAGTTAATACAATTTTTTATCAATGGTTTTGGGATTAAAGTGGAAACAAGTTAAGTAACAATTGTTGTTGTTAAGTGCTGTTGAGTTGGCTCCAACTCATAGTAACCCTTTAGAGGGTTTCCAGGGAGCGACTAGTGAGTTTGAACCACCAACCCTGTGTTTCAAACGACCTTGCGGTCCAGTGCTTATCCTCAGCTCCACACCAGAAGACATTAAATAAACCATGATGCATCTACTAAATTGGTATTATTTTGCTTCAGTATAGTTTGTACTTTATACCATACAACTACAGAAAAATGTATCTGAAAAGAATGTACCAAAATGTTTTAGAATTTAATGACTGTGAGTACAGTTGCATTCTTTTCCTGTTAATAACAATTTTCTTCTGTGATTGTCATTTGTATGATACAAGTAACTAATTTAAATAAAATACTAATTAAAAAAACAACACAGAAACAAGTTTTACTAATTGTACAAAATAAAATGAAATAGTATATGTGAAGTCAATGACATTTAAAATTTTTTAACTGAGTGCTGGGGGGTGGGGGGGACTATCTCTAGTCAAGGTATCCTGTTTGGCCATGTTGTATGCCAGTCTGATGTTTTGTGGCTTTTGTCTTCCTTTTAGGCCCACGTGATGCTGTCATAGTTGGTAAGTTTTTTTAAGGGTTGGCTGAGGAACTCTAGCATCTTTGAAAAGTAAGTATTCCCTTGTAATGAACATAAAAGAATAGATTAAAATATCTTCCATTACTAACTAAATTACAAAGAAAATAGAGATAAGTACAAACTATGGTATGGCAAAACAGGTATCCTCATATGCATTTAGAACAAGAATCTTTAATCAAAGTTCTTTGCTTTTATTATACCATTATGAATGAACACTCATTCTTCAGTGTTAAAAATTCTTTATCAAAATGTAACTAGAGAACACATCTTCTTGGGTTTCATGTTGTTAGTTGTGACCATTTGCTCTAATTGAAAGCCCAAAGACTGGTCTTCCAAGCCCATTTCTAGGATCTGCCTATATAATAGGAATAATTTTTCTGATAAGTTTACTTCAAAGAGAATTAGTAGGCTTTCTTGTATAGGACAGCCTGTGTGTTATGCTTTGCATTAAAGGCATATGCTCAGCAATGAGAGCTAGAGCCCACATGTCCTAGTACTGGTACTCAACACCTACCTGTTGAAAGGCTCTGTTGACCTCAAGGTTACAAAACTGTTCTGCTCACTCCTTAACCATAACCTTAGGAGTAAAATGCACCCTCTCTATTCAACCTGGATGGTGTCACATTCATCATCAAAAAGAGTATTTCAAGATCGATCTTGCAGTACACTACTGTCTGTGATGGGATAATCTACATGTGCCTATAAGAAAAACCAGTTAATACCACTATTATTCAGATTGATGTGCCAACCACCAGAGCCATTGGTGAAGAAACTGAAGAATTCTGTTAATTTCTTCAGTCTGGAATTGATGAAACATGCAAGCAAGAATTGATAATTACTGGTGATTCGATACAAAAGTTGGAAGCAAAGAGGAAAGATCGGTAGTTGGAAAAAATGACCTTGATGTATAAATGACACTGGGGATAGAATTTTGCAAGACCAACAATTTATTCATTACACCAATAATTTATTCATTAAAAATTCTGATTTTTCAACAGCAGGGGTGGAAAGCCACCTGGAGTTGTGGTGGTTGTTATTGTCGTTAAGTGCCATCGAGTTGGTTCCGACTCATAGTGACTCAATATAGGGTTTACGAGGAGTGCCTAGTGAGTTTGAACTGCTGACCTTGCAGTTCTGCACTTATGGGACAATTATACATATACATGGACTTCACCAGATGGAATATGCAGGAATAATATTTGTGAGAAGAAATGATTGAGAAGCTCTATATCATTAGATAAAACAAAGCCAGGGGCTGACTGGAAACAGGCCATCAGTTTCTCATATTCAAGTTCAAGTTGAAGCTGAAGAAAATTAAAACAAGTCAACAAGAACCAAAATATGACCTTGTATATATTCCACCTGAATTTACAGACCATCTGAAGAACAGATTGGATGCATTGAACACTATAATGACAAGAGAAGTTGTAGATGACATCAAGAACATCATACAGGAAGAAAGCAAAAGGTCATAAAAAAGACAAAAGAGAAAGAAAAGGCCAAAGTGGATGTCTAAAGAAACTCTGAAACTTGCTCTTGAAGACAGAGTAGCTAAAATGAATAAATCAAAAAAGCTGAACAATTTCAAAGGACAGCTTAAGAAGACAAAATAAAATATTATAATAAAATATGCAAAGACCTGGAGTTAAAATCAAAAGGGAAGAACATGCTCAGCATTTCTGCAGCTAAAAGAACTGAAGAAAAAAATTGAAGTTTCAATTTGCAGTATTGAAGGAATCTATAGGGGAAATATTATGCAATGTTGGAAACATCAAAAAAATCAATAAATAAAAGATGTTGTTGTTGTTGTTAAGTGCCGTCGAGTCGGTTCCGACCCATAGCGACCCTGTACAGGGTTTCCGAGGGTGTAAATCTTTACAGGAGTAGAAAGCCTCATCTTTCTCCCACGGAGCAGCTGGTAGTTTTGAACTGCTGACCTTGCAGTTCGCAACCCGATTCGTAACCACTACGCTACCAGAGCTCTTTGGACTCCATATAGCACTGGGCAAATCTGTTGTAAAAGATCTCTTTGAAATGTTAAAAGGTCAAAGACATCATTTTGAGGACTAAGGTGCACATGACCCAAGCCATATTTTCACTTGCCTCATATGCATGTGAGAGCTAGACAATGCATAAGAAAGACTGGAAAAGAACCGATGCATTTGCATTATGGCATTGGCAACGAATATTGAATACACCGTGGACTGTCAGAAGAACAAAGAAATCTGTCTTGAAAGAAGTACAGCCTGAATGCTCTTTAGAAGAGAGGTTGATAAGGCTTCATCTCATGTACTTTGGACATGTTAACAGGATGCACCAGTCCCCGGAAAAGGTCATTATACTTGGAAACGTGAAGGGTCAACAAAAAAAGAGGAAGACCCTTCTAATGAGATGGATTGTCACAGTTACTGAAACAATGAACTAAAACATAACCATTGTGAGTGGCACAGAACTGGGCAGTATTTCATTCTATTGTGCACAGGGCTGACAGAAGTCGGAACTGACTCAATGGCACCTAACAACAACAAGGGGAGAAATATAAAAGATAAACCTGCGTGTATTTAAAAAATAATTTATACGCCATAAAAAAGTCACTGGCATCTCTCATGAGACTAGGCATTAATATAGAGTTTAAAACATAGAGGTTATATTTTCCATGCACTTAATTACCTTATTTTACTGTCTAGGTATTTTCTTTGGTATATTCTTCTTTATTTTATCCATCATTATTCCCTGCTGGATAATTCTAAAGCGCAAAAAGGGGTAAGTTCAACAGATCCTTTTAAAAAATGTTGCTACTTCTTAGAAGCCAAGGAAAAGAAAATAAAAACTAAAAGTGAAAGAAGATAAAAAAGCCACTTCTATATAAATAAATATGGAAATTTTTATAAAGAGAATGTACTGTAGATAAAGACGTTTCAGACTAAAGGAGATAAATACTCATATGGTACTAAGAATGGTGTTTTTTTTTTAAGCTTAGAATTTTAAAAAGGAATGGGTTTTATACTAAGAGATCAGAGGCAGAAGTTTTTAAAGTATTGATGAAGCAGTTGATATCCTACTTTTGCTGAGATATTCCAGGTTTGTTGTTGTTGTTATTGTTATGTGCCATGGAGTCAGTTCTTACTCGTAGAGACCCTGTAAATCTTTACGGAAGTAGAAAGCCTCATCTTTCTCCCATGGAACAGCTGGTAGTTTCGAACTGCTGACCTTGTAGTTTGCAGCCCGATTCCTAACCACTACGCTACCAGAGCTCCTTGAGATATTCCAGGTATGGGTTTTAAAATACAGACCTTATCAGGGCATTTGAAGTCAGATTATGTGTCCCATTGGCACATATATCATCATAAGCTTCCAGTGTGGAAGAATTGAGTCATTGCAGTGGGTATTAAAAAGTGTATCTCTTATAAACATCACCTTACTTTTTTTTAACCTTTCAATAACCTTGAAAGGATTACGGTGTAAATGAATGAACATTTTGACTGAGAAAAAAATATACACAGCTTTTGTTGGTTTGCTGCTGTTGTTGTATCAAGTCAGCCCCAACTCCTAGCAATAGTGACCCTGTATGGTTTGAGCTAAGGAGCTCTGGTAGCACAGTGGTTACGAATCAGGCTGTGAACCTTAAGGTCAGCAGTTAAAAACTACCAGCCACCCCAGGAGAAAGATGAGGCTTTCTGTTCCCATAAAGATTTACAGCCTTGGAAACCTTGTATAGGGTCGCTATGGGTCGGAATCGACTCAACAGCATTTCACAACAACAACAATGGTTTGAGCTAAAGGTAGGTGGCTCAAACTCACCAACCGCTCCTTGGAAACCTTATACAGGTACTATACTCGATGGCACTTAGCAATAACAACAAGATTTCCAAGGCTGTAAATCTTTATGGGAGCAGAAAGCCTCATCTTTCTCCCGTGGAGTGGCTGGTGGGTTTGAACCATTGACCTTGTGGCTAGCCGCCCAATGTTTAATCCACTACACTACCAGTGAAGTCGGAGTCCATTAGATAAATGTTATAAGGTTAATGGGCAAATTCTATTCCTATGAGAAACAGAATTTATAACTTTTAGTAACAGCTTTCTGTAGGAAGCATTCTAAGCATACGCATTTGCCTGCAACTAGTTTTACAGTAAGCGTAGTGGTTATGAGTCCAGCTGCTAATTTCACGGTCAGCAGTTTGAAACTCTCAGCAGTTCCACAGGAGAAAAATGAGGCTTTCTGCTTCTGCAAAGATTTACAGCCTCAGAAACCCTATATAGGGTCGCTATGAGTCAGAACTGACTGCACACCACACCACCATCACCACCAGCTTTACAGTAAAGTTTGGATATTTCACAGGAGATGACAATTTAAAATTTTTTAAATAGAATCTCACAGTTGAACTTGCAAACAACCTAGTCAGGAGCTCAGTTTCATGATTAAATAAGGAATTAGCAAAAATTTACTTTGAAGTTAAATCTTTGTCCTTTTGTGACTTGACATATAAATGATCTTTGCTCTTCTTCAACACAAGAAAATATGAATACAAGCAACCTGATACTGTAAACTAGCAATTTTTCCACCTAAAGTTTCTCATTAACTATCTCTATAATGTGGTTTTTTTGTTGTTTTGTTTTTAAGCAGTTTTAACTAATGTTCAATTAGGAACTCTGGTAGCATAGTGGTTACGAATCGGGCTGCTAACTTCAGGGTCAGGAGTTCGAAACTACCAGCTGTTCAACGGGAGAAAGATGAGGCTTTCTGTTCCCGTAAAGATTTACAGCCTCAGAAACCCTGTACAAGGTCACTATGAATCGGAATCAACTCCTCAGCACAAAACAACAACAACAATGTTGAATTACAGTTGTTGTTAGGTGCCACCAAGTCAGCACCAACTCATAGCCACCCGATACACAACAGAACAAACCACTGCCCAGTCCCGTGTCAACCTCGTATTTGTTGTTAAACCTAAATCCGTTGTTAATCCATCTCGTAGAAGGTCT